TACCAACCTCGAGAAGGGATGAATGCCACACCATGGGCTCCCAATGTCATACCGTGGCCAAGCGCGAATGTGCATTCTTCATTAACTGCATGCCATGTTATGGCACTCTAATGCCACGTTGTGGTCAGGCCTAATTGAAAACATAATAATTTAATACTTGAAAATTAATACCTGGAGCTCAGATGTTATACAATAGTTCAACCATATTTATAGGGCTTGGTGTCATGGTCAAAACTAGTTATATTTCACGAATAATTTGTTTATATACATTAATTCGTCAATACAAAAGTTAAATTTCACTTGTCTATCAAATCATCCAAACTATGGTTTATGATCATCTTCCAAATCAGAACAAATAGAATCTCGTGCTTTAATTTAAAAGTTATAAGCTTGTAAATAAGGATTCAACACTCTACATGTCCTTATGTATCAATAATTTCATCGTACAAGAACATGTAGAGATTAGGGTTCATCAACCCCTTTTTAATTAAACCATAAAGTTAAAAAGTAGCGAAGAGAATAGGAGGATTACATTTTATTCGAGTCGGTTATAATTAATCAATGTATTTTCTCTTTGCTTTTCCTTAACAACATTCAAGTTTGAGCTCCAAAGCTCCAAAAATCGCTCTTCACTACTTTAGGAAATGTTGAGGATGTTTTGGGGGTGTTAAGAACCAATTTAAACCCCTTTTAAGGGCTTATTTTTCACTTTGAAGTAGTTAAATGGATGTGTAACTCATTATATGACCATGTAAATGCATATATAGACTGATACTTTCAATAGAAACTTCAAACAATCATGACTTCCTCATGCACACTCCATTTAGCCGATTCTTTCGCCCATGTGTTCTAAATTGTCATGAATACATTCCAAGACCAAGAGTTAGTCTTTTTGGACCACTTTAAATTGACTTTCATTGTTACAAACATTGGCTATCAGTTAATGAGTGTATTAGAACTAGTAACATGTTCTTCTTCAAAATAATGCCACTTTCTAAACATATTAATCCATCAAAATTAACAAAGGTTTTTCATCACATATCTAACTTTAAAAGAATAATTGCACACCTCTCTTTTGTCATTGCAAATTTTAGAGTTTAGGTGTTACATGTTAACAACCCTTCATCTTCTTAGCTCTACTTTCTACCACCTTTTTGTTGTCTTTTGTTTGTTTTTTTATTCTCGGTGGTTGTGGTTGCGTTTTCGGCACGTTTTCGTCGTCAATTTCGTAGGGAGGTTATGGTTAGGAAGGTTGGGGTTAGGGTGGTTGTTGAAATTGTAAATATTGATATTGTTGGAATTGGTTTGGTGTTTGGAAATGGTTTGGTTGGTTGAAATAATTTTGTTGGAATGTTTTTTTTAAAACAAGGTGGTTGTTGAATAGGTGAGGATTGTAGTATGTTCATGAACCCTCCGGTTGATGATTCATAGTCTGAGTATTGGCAAGTTGTTGTGTTAAGGGTGTATGAGAGGTTAGTGAATCGAAAATGTGTATGTTTGAGGCGTGTGAAGTATTTGGATGTTGATCCATTTTTGAAGTTCGGTAATTGAGAAATAGTTAGTATTTTAGAAATAAATAATTGGTGGTTGTGATGTGAAAATGTTTATGAAATAAGTTAATATATATAGGTAATTTTTTTGAAGTTTTTATTTTTTATTTTTTTAATGGTTCAAAAGGTCACATGATCGTTAATCTTTCTCTTTTCTTCATTTACTATCATAACCAAGGCTACGCCACCTCAAACTTACGTACCACCGAGGTGGTGTTCACGCGTAAGGCGGGTTCACCTCGGCCTTATGCCCTTGTTATGCTGATGCTTCGCAAGGCCTAAGAGATGAATATGTTGCTACCTAAGGTTCTCTTTGGTAAGAAAAAGTGGCTTCAACAATGGATCTATTGAGGAACAATTAACACCAAACTTGTGGATTCGAACAAAGTTTACATCTTTAATCGGGGATAAAGAAAACATAGAAAACATAAAATTCCAATACATAGACTTTCGGCAACAATTTTGTTGAGTTGATAACCCCAGTCTCCCGGAACACTTCTAAAGTAATGAAACAACACCCCTAACATAACATTTTATTTGAGAAACGTGTTGCAATTAACCACCATGAATAATAGTCCAACACAACAATAATGAAGCCGTGAACACCCAAGACTTCATGTTGTACGCCAACCAAAACTTTACAAAAGCATGTTGAAGGTTGCTATCAAACGAGAAACTTAAGAAAAGGGTTGCGCACCTTTCTTAATTTCCACCAACTCTGGGGGTGCATAAATAGGACAATTATAACAGGAAGGGGTGTATGGAAAATTGACACAAGATCACATAAAATAATGGAAATTAGGGATTTTATGAAAATTGAATAAAGGCTCTATTTTACATAAGAAAATAATATACTTTTTTCTCATTATTATAAATTGTTTATTTTAGCAAAAATATATCTTCTCTACTAATAAAACAGTACTAGAAACGCCACCTGGCATTCCCTTAGCCACTCACCCTTGCATTTTCCCGCTCAAAAATTATAAGTGAAGTTCCCACTTCGCCCTTCTATTCTCAAAAATAAAACTGTACACATCAGGAAACATAAATCGTCAATCAGTAAATATATAAATCAGGAAATTTCAAATTTAATTCGGTGGAATATTGAACATCAAATCAATCCCAATAAATCAGGTAATCAATTTAAATTCCATTTTATATCAATCCCAAAAAATCAGGAAATCAGTTTAGGAAGAGATGATATATTTCAATACAATTTCAGAAGTCAATACGATTTTAAGGGTCACGTATTCATCATCAGGTCAGCAAAACTACATTGCTCTTTACCTTTTAGATGTTCTATTTCATCTACATTCTTAATCGATTTCATCACTTTTCCCTCTATTTTTTTACCTGTTATGTATAAGAGTTTGATACATTGGTATTTCTTTATGTATATTCTGGTACATATAGTCACGATCTGTGTATGTCGATTTTTGGTTTTCTTAATATGTGTATCTTATATAACTGTATGTGATACATTAGAGTCATAGGACCATTCAATTTCTTCTACACCTATTTGCTTCCTCCAATGATTTGGTCCATCTAAATACTTAATCGTAATTAGGGTATTTGGATGGTTAGACCAATAATTCTTCCATAATGATTTTTCTTACATGACACGTTTTCTGAAAACTTGAAAATACTTTTATCAGTTGGTGGTTTCTTTTAACATCATATTCATATAAACTACAAACCTGTTGAAAAAGTAACTCAAATTATCAATTCATGTGATTTATCAAACCCGTTTAAATAATAAACAAAAAAATTACAAATTTCATTTTAAACTTCCTGTTACACTATATCCTATGTTTAGGAATCTACTCTCAAAGTACAATACTATATTTTGGAATTGATCATCTTTTAGTTTATTTTTCTAAATATATGTTTTATTGTCTATATGTACGTATATGTTTATATCTGTTTTTGAAAAGTATGTTTGCAAGTGATACAATTAAATATATAAATCAATCAGTGCTTTACGATTTTCCTGTTTATATCCTAATTTTTTTGTTAAATATACAGGTTTTTTCTGTTTAGTTTTCGATTTTTAGTTTTTTTCTCATTATATACCCTTAAGGGTATATCAGTAAATATGTAATTTTCTCATTGTTTTCTTGGTAACATCTACACTTAAATGATAAACAAAAGAATTGATTATTTCGTCTGATTTATCAAACCGTTTATATAATAAACAAAAAAGTATCAATTTCTTTTTGAAGTTCCTGTTACACTATATCCCATTTTTAGTAATTTATTCTCAAAGAACAATGCTATAATCTGTAATTATCATCTTTTAGTTTAATTTTCTAAATATATGTGTGGTTGTCTATGTGTGTGTATCTCTTTAAAAATTCTGCAATTTCATCATTTTATGACCCCCATTTGCGAAGTTGAGTATTTATTTCCAAAAATGCGAAACTCCAGGGACAATATTTGAAAATTTCTGTTTTCTTCCCCAATTCGCATTCTACTGTGAAATACTTCGCATCTTCATTCTTACACCCTTCGCATCCCTTCGCATTAATCACCTTCGCATTTTAACCTAATTAATCAAATGCGAACCACAAAATTTTCATTCCAGATGCGAACACAGTTTAGTTCTTGAACTCTAAACTTGCGAAATCAAAAATTCATATGTTGAACCCATATGCGAATATTAACCCAATTGACTTCAAATTGATTCACAGATGCAAACACTCGATTGTTTTACTTTCGCAAAATGAGCATCAACAACTCCACAATCGAGTTTTTAAATTCTTGCAAACAACAATTTCACAGTCCTTGACTTCGCGTTTTTCTTCACGAATCATCCCTCAATCATCAATCCAATTGCGAATCAAAACTCATATGTTCTTGCTTTATCGATTCATCGACTACACTCATACAAATGCGAACAATACTCAATTTCAAAATCGATTGAAACTTATAGCAAAGCTAAATCCAACTTCGCATTCAAAGCACACAAGTGTTATTGATTGCATTCATGAAATACTAACAAGATAATATATTATAATACAAATATACATATTTTAGGTGGTGAAATCGTAACAGCCTAACAATTTGGTATGCAACTTTATTAAATCAATAAAAAAAGTTATGCAAATTGGAAAAATAAATAAAAATATATCTTTTGTTGTTTTAATTAAGGAAATAAATATTTTATATGAATACTCACCTGGAAAAACGCATATTATAATTGTCTAATTTAATCGTAACAGCCTACCAATGTACTTTCTTCTTGACTGTTTGATTGTTTTTTTCTGTGTGCTGATTATAATTGTCTAATTTAATGTAAATTTTTTTTTTAACTTGCAAGGTACAATGGAACATATTACTCCTATAAAGGAAATTGACTCAATCAAGGACGATTTCACAATTAAAGTTCGGATCATACGTCTTTGGACTCAAAAGTCAAGATTTGATGCGAACGACACATACTCGATAGAAATGATTTTGATGGATGAGGAGGTATAAGATGGATGTATTCAATTATTATTTTTATAAAAAATTATTCATACTCATAAGCAATTATATTATTCATACTCATAAGCAATTATATTTAAATATTTATTATTTCATTTATTTTAGGGAAGGAAAATTCATGCATCATGTGTGAAGAAATGGTTTCCTAAATTCAAGCGCTATTTAAAAGAGGATAGTTCAATTTACGTCAAGAAACCTAACGTCGCACCAAATACTTCAAAATTTAAGTTTGCTCATCCGGAATCAAAACTAAATTTTTATCACGATACAATTGTAAAAGATTGTGAAAACTTTTCTGGATCTGCACATGGCTTTCATTTTGTTGACTTCAATACTATCGTTTCTAACAACATCCTGGAGTCAAACTCTTTTGGTTGGTTTATTTAATATTAACTTTTGCTATATAACATCCTAAATTCTTTCTTCGTATTACAATTTGATATTTTATATTAAATTATATTTCCTTGCTTTTGTAGATATTATTGGACACATTTTTGAGTATGGGCATATGGATACCTCAGAACAAGATAAATCAAAACACAAGATGCTCTTGCATCTTCAAGATATAGAGTATTCACCATTATTACAAACAAGTAATATAGCTTCATTTATATTATTTACAATATTTGTTTATTATTTCAGGGATACTAAGCTTAAGATAACTTTGTGGGGTCATAATGCATACTACATGCATGATTTTCTTGCTAACAATAACAGCCTTGCTCCAGTTGTTGTTATTGTTCAATTTGCCAGGGTGAAGTTTATTAATGGTTTGTAACTATTTTTAACAAGCATAATCTAATATATATATATATATATATATATATATATATATATATATATATATATATATATATATATATATGAATAATCAAATTTATTTTGGCAGGTCGTCCTTTTTCATCCACCTACTTTGATGTTAGTAGGGTTTTCATAAACAATGATATCGATGAAATTACAATCTACAAAAACAAGTATTTTCATTTAGAATTTCCTATGTATTATCAGATTTATTTATTTCATACTATAATAAATTTAAATCATTTCTTTGTTGTAAATGAACAGATTGGTCTCTGAAAATGGACAACAACTGTCATCAAGTGGAATTAAAATGATTGCATCAAAACAAGACACAGAACATGATGACTTTCTGAAAAATCATTTGTTTTCTAACATTGAAGACTTGTTTGAACCTTTGGAGGTACTTTACATTATTTTTAAAATTGTTAGTTTAATGCACTTATGTTTTTAAATTTTAAATGTTTTTTCATATTTAGAGTATATTGTTATAACTAAACTAAAATACACTTTCGCAAAATAACATTTATTAACAATGAGCATTATTTTAATATCCAGGAAAAGACAGTCATTATTGTTGGTACTGTTAAGGGAATACGTCAAAATATACGTTGGTATTACCTTGCTTGTAGCAACTGCAAAAAGTCAGCAAAAGAAAAAGAGTCTTCAACTGATAAGGTTGATGGTTCTCATGAAGTGGCCGAAATCGTTACTTATGAATGTGCTAATCTTAAATGCAAAAATATCAAAATTTCGGTTATTCCAAGGTATTAGATATTAATTTTATATAATAATAATATATGTTTATCATAATTGTCTAATATAATATAATTTTATACTTTATTTAGATTTAAAATCCCACTTCGGGTTCAAGACAACACAGGAACATTGACTTTAACTTTATTTGACCAAGAAGCAAAGAAGTTGTTCAAATACACAGCTAAAGAGTTGTATGATAAAAACAAGAAGGTATTATTTTATATTTTAACTTGGCATCAGTTTGGATTTTTTTCAAAAGGTGTTTACAATTGTGTTGGCCTAAAACTTGGCATTATATATTTTACATACAAATTTTCTAATGATATTTATTTACATTTTAGCTTGGCAACAATTTGGAATTGTATCCAATGGAGTTGAAAGTTGTGTTGGACAGAAAGTTGGCAATTAAGATTGATATCACACGTTACAATGTCGATAATAAAAGTAATCTTTATGGGATATCAAGATTAACCGAGAATGCAGACATAATTGATGAATTGGAAAAAAATAATCTTACTCCACAGGTTTTTTTCAACAATTATATTTTGTTTTTTAACACATTGACCCAACAATATCTGACTCAATATCATTTGTTTTCATCTTGTGATGCAGCCTGCTAATTCTGATTCATTCTTGATTGGTTCTTCAGATGTTGGTTCTCATGACACCAAAGTTCTCAAGGTTTTAGTTTTTAAAATATATTTCTCAAATATTTTGTTTTAATTTATAACAACTAACTAAATATTTTTTTAGGATTCTTTTTCACAGACCGGTGAAAATTTAACTCCATGTGCTAGGGACAAGTCAACTGCAACAAGTCCTATAAAATTCATTTCTACACCAATTGAGTTGAAAAGAAACCTTGCTACATGCATAGATATTGATGAAATGGAGAATTTGTCTACTTCTAAATATCCTAGACTGTCACCACCAGATGAACAACCAACTCCTCTTTTGGTACCCAAGAAAGAAAAGTAAATGCATTTTACTTCGACAAACAATCTTACTTCGTGTTTAATTTTGATTTCGCATCATAGACTCCTAAGCCGTTTACGTTTTTATCTTTCTTGGTTTTGAATGTTTTTTTTTGGGATTTCATGGTTGTCATTTTTGTTTCTTGAAAGTACATTCGGACCATTGGGTTTTTTTGTAGTCCTATAATTTGGTTTGCCATGTTATTTTGTTTTTCCTACAACTTATTTTAAACTACATTGCTTTATTCCCACAAAATCTTGAAGAATTACATTCATATGTGTAATTATGCAGTTACTTATATGTTTCATTTTACATATCAATTTATTTGACATACCACTTTATTTTACCTAAATGTACTTCTGTATTTACACTATCTCTGTAATTAACTAACTTATTTACCCCTAATCAACTTAAACACATAATAACACGTGAACTGCATTTGACTCCAATATTGAACAAATCACATTTCACAGTCCTTCTTGACTTCGCATTTTTCTTCACGAATCGTCCCTCAATCAATAACCCAATTAACCCAATTGCTAATCGAAAATCAAAACTTATCTGTTTTCATATGCGAACCCAACTGATTGGCTTTTCAAAATCAAATTCGCAACTCCAAATCGTTCGATTATTCGCCCCAATTCCAAAATCAAATAACAGATCCTTCGTATGATTCATTTAATAACCAAGGCTTCTTTTACTTCAAAATGACCGTATTGCCCCTAACTTGATAAGTATTTCATATATCGCAATTAACAATTAAGACAAATCAATCAATCAATCAATTTGTATAAGAAAAATGCGAAATTCTTAGCTTTCTTCCCCAATTCGCATTCTACTGTAAAATTCACATTCTTCATTCACCCTCTTTCTTCGCATGTTCCAGTCATTTTTTTTTAGTTCATTCGCATTTGAGTTGTTTGTCTCACCAAATACGAAATGAATATTAACCATAATCACCTTCGTATCTTTAACCCCAATCCATACAACCTCATATGCGAAACCCAATTTTGATTTGTATTACCAAATGCGAACATTTTTGCTTTTACACGTGAACTGCATTTGACTCCAATATTGAACAAATCACATTTCACTGTCTGACTTCGCATTTTTCTTCACGAATCGTCCCTCAATCAATAACCCAATTAACCCAATTGCTAATCGAAAATCAAAACTTATCTGTTTTCATATGCGAACCCAACTGATTGGCTTTTCAAAATCAAATTCGCAACTCCAAATCGTTCGATTATTCGCCCCAATTCCAAAATCAAATAACAGATCCTTCGTATGATTCATTTAATAACCAAGGCTTCTTTTACTTCAAAATGACCATATTGCCCCTAACTTGATAAGTATTTCATATATCGCAATTAACAATTAAGACAAATCAATCAATCAATCAATTTGTATAAGAAAAATGCGAAATTCTTAGCTTTCTTCCCAATTCGCATTCTACTGTAAAATTCACATTCTTCATTCACCCTCTTTCTTCGCATGTTCCAGTCATTTTTTTTTAGTTCATTCGCATTTGAGTTGTTTGTCTCACCAAATACGAAATGAATATTAACCATAATCACCTTCGTATCTTTAACCCCAATCCATACAACCTCCTATGCGAAACCCAATTTTGATTTGTATTACCAAATGCTAACATTTTTGCTTTTACACGTGAACTGCATTTGACTCCAATATTGAACAAATCACATTTCACAGTCCTTCTTGACTTCGCATTTTTCTTCACGAATCGTCCCTCAATCAATAAACCAATTAACCCAATTGCTAATCCAAAATCAAAACTTCTGTTTTATATGCGAACCCAATTGATTGGCTTTTCAAAATCAAATTCGCAACTCCAAATGGTTCGATTATTCCCCAATTCCAAAATCAAATAACAGATCCTTCGTATGATTCATTTAATAACCAAGGCTTATTTTACTTCAAAATGACGATATTGCCCCTAAATTGATAAGTATTTCATATATCGCAATTAACAATTAAGACAAATCAATCAATCAATCAATTTGTATAATAAAAATGCGAAATTCTTAGCTTTCTTCCCCAATTCGCATTCTACTGTAAAATTCACATTCTTCATTCACCCTCTTTCTTCGCATGTTCCAGTCATTTTTTTTTTACTTCATTCGCATTTGAGTTGTTTGTCTCACCAAATACGAAATGAATATTAACCATAATCACCTTCGAATCTTTAACCCCAATCCATACAACCTCATATGCGAAACCCAATTTTGACTTGTATTACCAAATGCGAACATTTTTGCTTTTACACGTGAACTGCATTTGACTCCAATAATGAATATTAACCATAATCACCTTCGCATCTTTATGTTGATTATTTTAAACATGGAACATTTATGTCTATTATTTATAATAACTATTATTTTTGTCACGATAAATATGTTATTTTAAATAAATAATCAATAACCAATTGTAAACAAAATTTATATCTTTCATTCTCTAAAATTAATTCATACATTTTTGTAATGGTTGCAGCATATTTACTTCCTGTAAATAACCTATATTCAACCAACTATTTCCTAATATTCTATACTCCTTTTTTAGATGAAATTTGAATATTAAACTAATTTTTAGTTGTAATCTTTTAAATTCCAAAAAATCAGGAAGAAAATTATATCTAATAAAGATCCAACAACAATAAAATCATATAATCGTAATCTTTTTCCAATATTCAAGCATATAACTTTAACTCAAAACGTGAAATCCAAAATTTTGAAACACCTGATTCGTCTTCTTAATGTTCAATTGTTTCTGCGATTTTTTTTCATTAAGCTTACATCAAACTGCTTCGTTAAAGTTGTAATCCTCATTCCAGTTCTACCAGCAAGATTTCCATATCCA